CCTCCCGCCCTCCCCGTCCCCTCAGCCCCGAGTCTCCTCCCTCCCTCCCCGTCCCCTCAGCCGCGGGTCCCCTCCCGCCCGTCCCGTCCCCTCAGCCGCAGGTCCCCTTCCGGTCTCCCCATCCCTTCAGCCCCGTCTGCTCCCGCGTCGCACCGTCCGGCGCCGTAGAAGCCGCCCCCTGTCGGTAGGTGAGCGGCGCTGCGCCTCGGCCTGCGTTTACTCAGCGGGCGTCCGAGGAGTGTGTCCCGCGGCTCTAGCTCCCCCTGGCAGCCGCGGGGCGGGAATTTCGGTTCCGGAGCGCGGCCGCCCGGCGCGGGGTGCGAGGAGGAGGGTTCGCGCCTCCGGCCCTGTCCGGTCCCCGCCCCGACCCGGGTTCTCGCCGACCCGGGACTGGCAGAGGCCTGCCACGGCGGACGCGCCAGGCGGCTTCGCAGGGGCGGGCACGTGGAGCCGGGCCCTGGGCAAGAGGACGAAGGGCTGCCCGCGCTGGACTCACACAGAGGCACCGGGAAGCACGAGTGTATTTTAGGCCTGGCCTGTGGGCCGGAGTCCGAGGGGCCTCCTGGAGCGCTCCCTGGAGGAGGCGGGGCTTCGCGGGCCCTGGGAAATCAGAGAGCGGGCACGTGGTTTGCGGCGCCCGAGCGGCCGCAGGCGGCTCCAGGCGCAGTGCCCACGCCGGGCCGCCTGCGGGAGGAAGCGGCTGAGGTCGAGGCCGGGGTCGCCGAGAGAAGAAGGGCCCGCCTCAGCCCCGCCAGACGCAGTCCTGGCCCGGAGCCAGTCCGTCCAGGCCGACGGCGTAGCGGGAGCTCCAGTCTCGCTCAAAGAGCAGCCGCAGCTGCTCCTGCACCGCGGGCCGCGCCGGCCGCGCGCCGGGGCTCTGGGTGACCACCAGGCCCACCCCCGCCGTGCTGCTGAAGTAGTCCTCCGACCAGTTGGAGGTGCCTGCGGGGAGACGGAGGAGACGCTGGGGCGCCGGCCCCCGGGCCCCTCCGCTGCCCTCGGACTCCAGCCCGGGAAGCCCCTCGCTTAGGTGCGGGCGGGACCGCTGGTCGCGGTGGAACGCCACCCTCGCCGCTCGGGGACAGGCTTCCTGACTCTGTTCTGGGGCTCTGCGGGGCCAGGTGGCAGGCGGGTGGCCTGGTCCCCGGAACTGCACTGGAGACCCTCCCCCTTCAGCAGCAGCCCCCCTGTTTGAGGCGTCCACGCCGGCCACAAAGCCAGTCCTCCCTCGGCCGTTCCTGGCCACCCTGGGGCCCGCCCGCCGTGACCGCTCGTGTTCACCTATGTAGGCTGCCTTCTCCGTGACCATGAACTTGCTGTGGTTCACCCTGCTGAATGGGATGTTGGAGTGATTCCCCACGGGCACGATGAAGACTTTCTTAGGGGAGCAGAGGCAGCGCATTAGGCAAGGCGGGAGGAGGGCCCTGCCTTCCCCCCGCCGGCCGGGAGCTCGCCCTCACCACATCCACAGAGACGTTGGTTGCGGGGTCGCTGAGCGCCTGCAGGGACCGCAGGTAGGGGAACATGGTGGGGTCCGTGTTGAGCCCGCAGCCGACCAGCAGGCGCACTCGCACGCCCTTAGCGAAGGCCGCTGCGCGCAGCGCGTTGTCCAGCACTGGCCAGTACCTGGGGCAGGGAGGGGCGGAGTGCTCCCTATAAGCCCTGGGCCCAGGTCCCAACAGGAGGGGACGTGCCCGGGAGCTGCCAGTCAGCAGAACAGGCCGTGCACCTCCCACCCAGACCTACTTGCGGGGGTGGCTGAAGCGTGTGGTGGGGAAATACTCCATCACTGAGGCGTAGATGAACTCCTGGGCGCTCCCCATCACTGACAGCAGCGCCTCCAGGTCCGGAGTGCGGCCCCGGGGACAGAGCACCGGCGGTGATGCCTGTGACGGGAGAGGGGTCCGTGAGGGCTCTGCCAGCCTCGCCCATTCTGGACTTGTGACCCCACCATGCACCACCCAAGAGGCCCCATGTGGTGGTGGAGGGAGGAGGCCCGGGTGCCTGGAAACGTGAGGAAATAAGGGGTCAGCTCAACAGGGGCCCTGGGGACTGGCCCTGAGGCCTGGTGGGGAGAGGGGAAGCAGCTGGCCCACCCTGGGCTCCAGGCTGGACTGACCTCACAGAAACAGTTCCCAGCCACAAGGAAACTTCTCCACTCCCTTCGGGGTGCCACCCCCCCATCTAGGGAAGCTTCCCTTGTTCTGATGCAGTCTCTGCTGCAGACTAGTTCCTGTGCTGGCTGGAGGGCTGCCCACTGCCACCCCTGTAGGCTGATGAAGGAGGATCTGCCCACTCCTCACTCTTCCCTTCCTTCTCTGCAGAGCAAGTGGGGTTCTCCTCCCTCTCCAGTGCCCAGCTAAGCCCCTTGGCGCTGCTTAGCAGTCTGGAGACTCCCAGGGCCCCAGGACTTCCCACCACCTCCCAGGCAGCCTGTGTTCCAGGGATGGTGCTGCCTGGAGGCCCTCCTGGAGCGAAGCCTGCCTCCAGGCACAGCCCAGAGCCTGCTGATACCAGCCTGCTGCTCACCCCAGGGCCACAGCCCCACCCACTGTGCTGGCTGCCTGAAGACCCAGCTGATGCTGCTGGTGTCTGCAGGGCCAGCCCAGTGGGTTGCCTGTGGGTCTGGCCAGTCAGGGGAGAACAGGGGGTTCTGATGGGCTTCTTCTCAATCTGCCTTACTGAGAAGTAGGCAGTGGTGGGCACCCCATCAAAGAGGCCCCGGAAGGGCTGGAAACGGTTGATGTCAGATGAGAAGTTCTGAGGCCAGGTTTTGGGGAGGACAGCCTTAGGTGCCCCCAGCACCCAGTAGGTCTGGAAGGTCTTCTCCAGGTCTTGGGCCAGGTGGCTGCAGTTATAGATGACAGCGCCAAGCTCCTTCACCTGCAGGGACCAAAGTCAGGTGCTATGGGAGAAAAGCCCCTCTGTGGGACCTCCACTCCCCTCTACCCAGGCCAGGGATGCTGGGGGAGGTGCAGCTCCTGCCCGACTGGTCCCCACTTGTGGGAAGCATTGTCTGTAGGAATCTGTAATAGAGTGGCTGGTGGAAGAGTGCCCAGTGGGGCCCTGTGTCTTTGAATATTGTGTTCCAATGATCAAAGCAATACATGTTTATTACAAAAAAAAAAAAAAATAGAAAATGCATCAAGGCGCAAAGAGGAAAATAAAATCATTCTTAATCCCACCATCAAGTGATACCCATTGCTGCCTTGGCCACGACCATTCTTTGATATCTTTCATGCATTGCTTTTCCTAAAAAGGCTTGTATTTTGTAATCTGCATGTTTCCCTGGATAATGTGACTTAAGCATCTTTCCGTGTCATTAAATGTCACTCCACAGCATGAGTTCATTGGCTGTGTAGAATTCCACCACTTATTAGACCCATATGCGATTCTTTCTACCATGGTGCCGTGAACAGGACTACATGACTTTCTCCAGATGCGCTGAGATGTCAGGCCAAGTCCCCAGGAGTGCAGGAGGGGAAGAGCTCCAGGCGGGCCTCCTGTGTTAGGGCCCTGGCACTTACCTGTGTCAGGGACCGCCAGTCCATGTTGGCACTGCCCATGTATATGTGGCGTCCATCCACAACCCAGAATTTGGAATGCAAAACGCCCCTGGTGAGCCTCCCCATGGGCACCTGTCGTACCTGGGCACCTGGTGGAGAGTTCAGGCAATGGGATGAACTTGGTCTTGCTAAGTATCAGCTTCGTGGTGAACCTGATCCCAAGCTCTTGACAGTGTGGTGGACTCAGATGTCCTTGCAACAGTCCTACTAAGCTGCTGCTATTGTCATCCCCATTTTACAGGTGAGGACACTGAGGGATAGACAGTCCCAGGACCCCTCCAGAGCCTGCCTTTATAGCGACTGCCCATGGCCTCTCACTCCCCAGCCAGAGCTCCCAGCCTGAGCCTCACCCACAGGTCAGAGCTGCTGGGCTCAGCATAGCCTCGAGGCCACCCATGCTCTGCCCTGTGGGAAATGACACTTTTGGGTTCTTGGAGCCAGCCCTGTGCCCAGGTGAAGCTGACTCAAAGGACCTCAGAACCCTGGGTCCTGCCCTCCTGGGGTGTCCTGTCCCCAGGACACCATTCTCACCCCATGCCCCTTTTCCTTGTCCCATGGTGCCAGCCAGACAGTCTATGCCTGACGCCAGGGCAGCGAGGCCAAGCATGGTGCAGGCACCCACCTTGGGAGGCCAGGACCTGCAGGTCGGTGGAATTCCTGGCCAGTGTTGGGCTGCTGGTGGCCACAGCCAGGGAAATGTTCCTGCCCAGCAGCTGCTGCAGCTTCTGCAGAAGGGCCTCTCCCTGCAAGGCCAGGCCAGCCATGAGAGCTGACCTTAGGCTGCCCTCTGCTCCACACCCCCACTAGGACCCATGCCCTCCTCAGGAGGTCCACCTCTGACTGCCCACAGCTCAAGGTCAGGTCAAGTGTCTGGATGACCCTTGGTTGTGAGCCAAACTGCGCCCAGGCACAGTCTGAGTGCTCAGTCCCCAGAGGCCGAACTCCTCGACGCCCCTGCCCTGAGAGCCCCCAAAGGAGGGGCGTAACCCCTACTCCATGCTAGACCCTACCACTGTGCCGAGCCCCAGGCCTGAGACCCCTGCACAGATGGGCAGCCTGACTTGCTGTGTTTCCAGCACCAGGTTGTGGGGGGGCCAGGGCGAGGCGCACCAGCTGGGAAGATGAGTCGTTGACCCCGATGTCGGGCCCTGTGAGGGACCAGTAGTACGAGGCCACGTGGACACTCTCCTGGGCAGTGTCCAGCAGCTGCAGCCAGGCCTGGCCCAGAGGCTGGGCAAAGGGGCTGCCAGCTGCAGATGGCAGGTCCTGGGGGATGCTTTCCACAAGGACAAGCCTGTGAAGAGAGCCACACTGGGCTCAGTATGGGTGCAGGAGCCCCCAGCCCACCTCACATCACCTGCCCCATCTGGCTGCCAAGCCAGGCGACTGCTGCTCAGGTGACCCCTAGGCTGAGCCCAGACTAAGTGTGCAGGGGTTGGGTCGAAAGTGTAGGCAGCAAAACAGACTGGGTAGGATGGGCCTGAGCCAGCATGCTGCTGGGATGGGGACACCCGGGAGCAAGTTGGCAAGGAGCCTGAGAGGGGGCTGCCTGGCCCAGAGCAAGCTAGATTGGGGGTCCTGGCCCCACCCAAACCTGAGGCGCTGCCCTCGAGGAGCAGCTGCTCCTGAAGTGGGTGGAGTAAGCAGAGCCACAGAGCCCGGGGTCTGGGGTGACCTCCTGGTGTGGGCGGAGTAAGCAGAGCCACAGAGCCCGGGGTCTGGGGTGGCCTCCTGGTGTGGGCGGAGTAAGCAGAGCCACAGAGTCCGGGGTCTGGGGTGGCCTCCTGGTGTGGAAGCCCTTGGTGGTGGCCGGAGCTGGCCTGGAAGGGAAGGCTGGGCCGGGGGATGTGCAGGATGGCCCAACAGGCGCCACCAGGGCAGACCTGGGACTCCAACCCCAACCACAGGGAAAGAAGAGTGGGAGAGAAGGCTGAGGGGCAGGAGGGACAGTGACACTACCCTCAGGGGTGGCAGGACTCTGGCTGAGCCTCAGCACAAGCAGTGTTCTCCAGCCTGTCAGAGCCCCAGTGCCAGCTTCTGTTCGCTGCAAAAAGCACCCTACGCCTGCCCTGTCCCCAACCCCCACTCCAGCTCACACTGTGGGGGCCCTTCCTGGTGACCTGCACCTTCCTAAAGGAGCTGGCAGAGGGCTATCCCGCGCTTATCCCATGGGCAGACGCAAGAGCAGAACAGGCAGCAGCCTCAAACTGAGACCTGCCCATCCACCCACCCCACCGCAGGCCTCCATGGGCTCACTTACCTGCAGGAGTCCCTCTGCTGCCCGGTGTCTGCTTCCAGGGGCTCCCAAGCTGGGCTGGAACCATGCCCCCAGGACCCGGGCATGTCCTTGGGGTGCACCTGGCCCCAGGTGGGAGGAAGGGCCACTTGCCACAGGAGGTAGGTGAGAGTCATGGACCCTAGCCACAGCACAGCCAGTGCTCCCAGGACCTGCAACTGGAGGGGGCAGCACCCGCAGGCTCACCAGGATGGGTGGGGGCTTGACCTCTGGCTGGGCCATCATGGCCCCTCCAGTGCTGAGACAGAGACCATCTTGATTTCCCTGGAGCTGGGCTGCCGCTGGCGTGGGACCGGGGTGGACAAGGGACAGGGGAGGGTGATACAGAGAAAAGCCCCAGCCCAGGATGGTGGCGGGGGTCCGGGGGCCTGCAGCCCACTCTGCAATGCTGTGGCTGGTGGTCACTGTCTGTCCTCAGCAACCCCAGCAGGGGATAGAGGGAGGCTTGTCTTGCCCACTAGTCAGGGCACGTCTGTTCCCCTCCTTGAGGGTGGAGGCTCCCTCAAGGCTGCTGTGTCCTCTCCACTCTGGCTCAGAGCTCTGGAAAGGCCATTGATCCCAGCCACCTCCTCCCTGGGGCCCCCCAGTCCTACCATGCCAGCTTCTCTGTCCCATGGGCGGTGGGGCGGCGTGGCGCATGGCCACGTGGGGGCCACTGCTGCTCTCTGAAGAGGTTTCAGCATCTGCACAGGGCAGCCTGGCATCACCAGCAGCTCCAGCCCCACCCAGAACTGCCCTTCAGTGCCTGGGCAGCTGGGCACTGGGGACACCCCTGCACCGATACCCACACAAGCCCCTAAAAACCCCACTCCTGCCCAAGGTCACACCCTGGATGTTGGGGGGATGCTTTCCACAAGGACAAGCTGCGTGAGTGCGGGAACCTGCAGCTGGCCTCACATCACCTGCCCTGTACTCCTGGTCAGGCCAGAGGGACTGCTGCTAAGGCTGCCCCCAGGGATGAGCCCAGGCTGAGCATGTGGGGTGGGTGGGCGTCTGTGCCCGGCTGCACGCCCTGGCTTTCCGTGTCTCTCCTCTCAAGATCTCCCGCTCAGAGGGTATTTGGGTTTCAACCACAACTGAAACTGAGTCTGAAAGTGCCATTTCTGCTTTTGTCACTTGGTCCCCTCATTGCTGGCCTATAAATAACTGCTTCCCTCCTGGGCTGGGCTCCTGTCTTGGCCCCACGGCAGCCCCTCCTGGGAGCCACAGGGCAGAGGGGACAGCTGGGCAGCACCCCGGCTGGAGAGGCTAGGAGTGGAGAGGGCATAGATGGCGGCTGAGTAGGACCCCGGCACTGCTGGGGGACGGGGTGTCCTCTGCTGTAGGGACTCACTTTGTCTCCTCAGAGTGGTCACCCCACAAGGAGCTGGGACCCAGGCCGTCACGGCCCCGTGGGATGTGGGCTCTCACCCCCACTCCCACCGCCACCCCCAGAGCAAGCAGCCAGGCTATCTCAGGTGCCAGAGGTGCCCTCCCTGGGTGCAGGGAGGGGCCTGTGCCCAGCATGGTCCTCTGGCTGGCCAGCATCTGACTGAGACACCCATCAGGGCAGGAGCTGGCTGGCTCCTGGCCAGGATGGGGAGGTCTCTGAAGTTTGGGGCCTGGGCCTGGGCAGCACTGAGTGTCTGTGTCTGTAGCCAGGCTGGCACTGGGACCCAGGGGCTCTGTGGGTCTGGCCATTCACGGCGGAGCAGCCGGCTCAGCCTCCAGGTCTCTGGGGTTTGTCTGGGCTGTCCTCCCATGGGTCAGGGCTGAGGCCTTCGAGACCCTGGCCTGCCTCAGCATAGGGTGGGGAAGGCTGGGCCTGGGCTGTCTTCCCTGGAGACCAAGCATTACGGGGGGTTGGGGGTAGGCGTGTAAACCATGTGTGGGGACAGGGGACTCAGGCGAAGTCACTGTGGTCCAACTCCTCCCACACTGGGGAGTCCCTGCAGAGGTGGGTTGGAGCCACCCCCACCCCAGAGCTGAACTCTGGGAGATGCTCCCACCCACCCTGCAGAGGGGACCTCACGGTGCCCACTGTGTCCCCACTGTCCCTGGGGATTCAGAGCCCAGTATCAGGCCTTTGCTCCTCACCCCCCCCCCCACCCCACCAACTCTCAGGAGAGGAAACATGAAATCCTGGGCTGTGGCTGGGCAGCAAGGTGCTGGGGCTGTTGTTGGAGAGCTCCTCCCCACCCTCCCTGCACTCACCAGAGAGGGCCCTTGCTCCCCAAATGCTCCAGGCAGATGGGCAGCCCGGAGCACTGTAGCCCCGCCTCTTGCAGTTCCCATCTTGGACTTGGAGCCTGTCTAAGGCCCCTCCTGGGACCACAGACCCGAGAGTGCCTCACCACCTCCTCCTGCAATGGAACCTGGGAGACCGGTCAGCTGGGTTGGCTCGGGCTGAGAGACCCCTGGGGGATAGGACTCTAGCCCCCTAGTCCCATGGTAGATACGTGAGACCCTACAGACATCAGAGACCACGGCTGAAGGTGCCAGATTTCCTGCCCTCCAGAGCACTAGCCATGGCTGCCAGTCCCAAGCTGAGGTGGAGGAGGGCCCAGCTGTCACCTGGCTGGAGAGCCAGGGCCCTGGTTATCCCAGCTGCATGGACTGGGGAAGGAGCCAGTCATCTACAGGACCAGCTGGGAGTTGTATGACTCTCTGGACCTGGGGTTGCTGGGAGCCTGAGGCCATAGAGGCGGACAGCAGCTCTTTCCCCAGGCCTGGCACTTCTCGGCTGCCCTGGCCTCGTTGGCACATACCTCTGGGGGTCCTGCCTTGGTGTCCATCCTGGCTCCAGCCGCAGACTGCAGGCCCCGAGCTGACGGGGTAGGCTCAGTGTCTCCTGCACTCCACGCCTGCCTCCTCCGCTCTGCAGCTTTCTGCTACACTTCCAGCTACTTCCTCTTTGTTCTGAGAGGTCTCCTCTCATCCGGGACAGAAACAGATGTCTGAAGCTGGGTGGGGGGGTCTAGAGGGCAGGGCTGGGAACCTTTACCTCCAGGAAAAATCTATAACCCACTCCCTCGAGGTGGAGGCCCTCCAGTCACAGGCTATGCATCAGAGTCAAGCTCAGCTGCAGGCCACAGAGACCTAAGGAACGGTGGCTTAAGCACGGCCGTTCATTTCTCTGGAACACTAAGCAGGTCCAGGGGCTGGCAGGCGAGAGGTGGCATTGTTCCCCTGCCATTGGGAGCCAGGTCCCTCTAGCTCTCAGATCCCAGTCCCTAGGATCCCTACCTTCATGGCCTCACAGTGGCTGCTGGAGCTCAGCCGTTGTTTCTGTGTTCTTAGCAGAGGATAAGGGACATCCCAGAGGAGACTTCCTGGAGGTCCCACAGGGCGTTGTGATCCCCTCATTGCTGGCCTATAAATAACTGCTTCCTTTGATCTGCAGGGAACTTGATCTAGAAATTAGTCACGTGGCTACACTTAACTGCAAGGGAGGCTGGGCAGTGGAGGCAACTAGGGTCCTTATCCTGGAGGATGAAGCTGCGGCTACTCACTGGTGTATCTGAAAAGGTAGGCTTGGCTAGAGGCTCCCAGCGAGGGGCTCTGCCTCCCCCTCCCCACCTCTGACTGGGGTCCCTGAGTAAGGTCTGGGACCTCGACAACAGCCCCCACTTTCAGTGAGGTCTGGATGTCCACCCTGGCTCCTCCTTGTAAGAGCTATGTAGGGCAGGGGTCCAGGGTGCTGGCCTCAGGGTGCCTGCAGGACACCAGTCAGGAGGGTGCAGTTCCCAAGGATGGGGCCTGGTGGCTGCACCCCTGGGGCCAGTCTGGGTGGGCCAGGAAGTGAATGGGGAAGAGATCCACTCTCCCGCTAGTCCGTTCAAATCTCCCTTCATCTTCTTGCTGCCCCAATTTGGCCTTGGGGTCAGTCCTTACCTCCCAGCCATGGTCTGGGTGCCCCTGCTCTCTGGCTGGGTTGCTGGATGCCTAAATGCAGCTGTGCCCCAGGGATGCCCCGAAGGTTGGATCCTCCAGGGACTCTGGGTGAGAGTTACTCTGGGCATGGGGAGGAGCAGCCAGGTGGGCCCTGCTGTGACATTTGCAGAGCTGGGGCATGCGTATGAAGGGAGGCTGCCTTCTCCGCACTCAAGTTAATGGCAGTTAGACAGAGCAGGTTCCCTTCTGTCTTGACAACAATGGCATGTGAGGACCTGGAAGGCCAGGGGCAAGTGGAGGGCCCCAGGGCTCCTTGGAGCACTCTCAGAAGTCGGTGCAGGAGTGCCAGCCCCAGCCAGCCCCGCTCTCTGATGTCCCGAAATTGTGAGGGGCCTTGAAAGCCCACATGCTACACCCGGCCCGTGGGTGCAAGTTCATATGCAGTCCCAGAAAACCGTCTCGTCGCCTCCCCTGGCCACTTCTCAGGCCAGCAGGACTGGGTACAGCTCCGGTAGCTCTACCTTGGAAGGATGGATCCAGGCTTGGGGACATTTGAGCAGGGAGTCCTGGGCCCTGGGCTCAAGGCTTGGTGGACCATCTTCTTGACCCCTCAGGCTGCTTACCCTGGAAGAAAGACTGAGGCTGGAAGGGGTCTCTAGACTTGGGGCCCAGCAGGCTCCTCTGCGGCTCCAAGGCTGGGTGTGTGGCCGGGACCCACAGGAGGGCAGCTCCTTGCCAGCTCTGCTCCCTCCACAGCAGGCCCCCGCCTGAGGTCAAGGGCCCTTGGGGCCCATGGGTGTGGGGAGCGATTTGGAGCATTTCCCATGAAGCAAAACACTTTTTCTTTAATTTCCTTTTTTATTTAAAAAATTATCTTCATGGGAAAATCTGACTCATTATTGGTCAGCAGAGCTAAGGTGTTTTTTTCATCCCAAACAAGCATAGACTACCAGAAGAGGCTTATGGAAGCTCTTAAACCCCACAGCAAACACACCAGATGCGCGTCGCCTTATGGTGACTATGTCCTGATAAGCCCATTGTAGAGGAAAGCTGAAAATATTCTAAGGTGATAATGAAGAAAAAATAGAGATGGCCCAAATAACCAAAACCGGAAACAAACAAGAAAAGGAGACATTAAAACTGATAGCACAGAGATACAAAAGATCAGCGGAGACTACATGAGAAACTATACGCCCACGAACAGGAAGCCCAGAGGAAATGGAGCTATTCCGTGCAGCCTGCCAAGATTGAATCAGGAAGAAACAAAAAACCTGAACAGACCAATAAGGAGTAATGAGATTGGGTCAGTCATAAAGATCTCCCAGCAACAACACAAAAGGCCTATAGACGGGATGGCTTCACGACTAAATTTTACCAAACTTACAAGAAAGAACTAATGTTACTTATCCTCAAAGTGTCCCAAAAAACTGGAGAGGAAGGATTCTCTCTAACCCATTCTATGAGGCCAGCATTACCTTGATACCAACACCAGGCAAGGACACAAAAAAAGAAACAAACAAGAAACAAACAAGGAAACAAAAAACTACAGGTCAATTTCCTGATGTATATGTACACAAAAATCCTCAACAAAATACTACAAATTGAATACAATAGCACATCAAAAAGATGATACATTATGACTAAATGGGATTTATCCTGAGGATGCAAGGATGGTTCAACATACACGAATCAATACAGGCGATATATCAAACCCACAGATTGAAAGACAAAAACCGTATGATTATCTCAATAGATGCAGAGAAAGCATGTGATAAAATTCAACATCCCAGCCGGGCACCGTGGTTCAGGCCTGTGATCCCAGCACTTTGAGAGGCTGAGGTGGGCAGATCACCTGAGGTCAGGAGTTTGAAACCAGTTTGAACAACATAGTGAAATCTCGCCTCTACTAAAAAATACAAAACATTAGCCAGACGTGGTGGAATGCGCTTGTAATCCCAGCTACTCAGGAGGCTGAGACATGAGAATTGCTTGAACCTGGGAGGTGGAGGTTGTAGTGAGCTGAGATCACACCACTGCACTCCAGCTGGATAACAGAGTGAGACTCTGTCTTAAAAAAAAAAAAAAAGAAAAAAGAAAAGACAACAAAAAACTAGGCCAAAAAAAAAAAAAATCAGCATCCCTTCTTCATGATAAAAAATCCCAATAGTCTCAAAAAGCAATTCACGCCTACAGTCTCAGAGTTTTGGGAGGCCAAGGTGGGAGGATCACTTGAGACCAGGAGTTTGAGACCAGCCTGCACAAACAGTGGCTCATAATCCCAGCACTTTGGAAGGCCGAGGTGGGCAGATCACTAGAGGCCAGGAGTTTGAGACAGGCATGGCCAACATGGTGAAACCCCGTCTTCACTAAAAATATAAAAATTAGCCAGGTGTGGTGGCACACACCTGTAGTCCCAGCCACTCGAGAGGCTGATGCAGGAGAATCGCTTGAACTCAGGAGGTGGAGGTTGCAGTGAGCCGAGATCACACCACTGCACGCCAGCCTGGGTGACAGAGTCTGTTAAAAAAAATAAATAGGCCAGGTGTGGTGGCTCACATCTGTAATCCCAGCACTTTGGGAGGCCAAGTTGGACAGATCACCTGAGGTCAGGAGTTTGAGACCAGCCTGGCCAACATGGCAAAACCCTGTCTCAACAAAAATACAAAAGATTAGCCGGGTTTGGTGGCAGGCGCCTATAATCTCAGCTATTCCGGAGGCTGAGGCAGGAGAATCGCTTTAACCCTGGAGGCGGAGGTTGCAGTGAGTCGAGATCACACCATTACACTCCAGCCTGGGTGACAAGAGAAAAAAAAATCATGCAAAGGATCTAAACAGACATTTCTCAAAAGACATCCAAATGGCCAACAGACATACGAAATAAACTTAGTATCACTAGTCATCAGGGAAATGCAAATCAAAACCACAATGAGATACATCTCGTCCCAGTTAGAATGGTTGTTTTCAAGAAGACGAAAAATAAATGCTGACAAGGATGCCAAAAAAAAGGGAACTCTTATAACGCTGTTGGTGGGAATGTAAATTAGTAAAGCCATTATAGAGAACTATATGGAGGTTTCTCAACAAACCAAAATTAGAACTACCATATGATCCAGCAATCCCACTACAGAGAATTTACCCAAAGGAAAGGAAATCAGTTTATCAAGGGGGTTCTTGTGCACCCATGTTTATTGCAGCACTATTCACAATAGCCAAGATATGGAATCAACCTGTCCATCAAGGATGAATGGATAAAGAAAATGTGGCATATATACACAATGGAACACTGTTTGCTCATAAAAAGAATGAAATCCTGTCATTTGCAGCAACATGGATGGAACTGGAGGTCACTATGTTAAGAGAAAAGCCAGGCACAGAAAGACAAACATCATATGTTCTCACATGTGGGAGCAAAAAAAGTTGACCTCTAAAAGTAGAGGATAGAACGGTGGATCCCAGGGTCTAGGAAGGGTGTGTGGCTGTGTGAGAAACAAACTCAGCCATCCAAACCCAAAGAATGGACTCAGAGACCCAGAGAACAGCGTGAGACTTTTAATGACAGTCTTGCAACATTGGTTGTCTGATGGGCAGGCACACCCAACACACTTTCAACAAGCAGTTTATCCCCTAGTGTGCAGGTCCCACCCCCGTTCCTCATAGGCTGAGTACTGTGGCGGGGGGCGGGAGTCACAGTCTTCCCGGACATCGCCTATTGGTTGTTGGGAAGGGGCCTTAGGTGTTTTCTTTAGGATTGTCCTGCTGCATTTTGTTACAGCCCGCAATGCATTGCAATCCTGGCTAGCTCAGGGGCTCTTCAAGTACTTGACTTATGACCTAAGTAGCTGGGCAGCCTGATGAGAATAGATAAAGTGAGCTGTTTTGCAGGCTAGTAAACTTTCATCTTAGACTAAACTTCTTTGGTTTGGGTGAGGGCAACCTAAGTGGCGGGGTGGGGGTGGGATGGGGGGGTGGACAACAAGCAGGTGTCGGCTGTCCAAGCAGGGGCCTAGTATGTCCTCTTTCTTCTGTAGTTTGCTGACCTAAGCCGAC